ATCACCCACCATATAAACAGTGTCTTTCATTTTCATGATCCGCTCGGCCATGAATACCTGGCATTTCCACATGATTTCTGTAACACTAGTGTTTGGTACTTCTTTGTAGAAAGTTTCACAACAAAGGCTGTGGTCTGTAATTCCTGATCATGTCTGTTATGGCAGTCTTTGTACTGCAAATGCTTGTTCCACTGACATGGCATACACTAACGGTCTCTGCTCTTTAGAGAACAGCTTGCCCAGTGGATCAGGTCTCCCACGATTTGCAAAAAGGCTTTCAGGATCAGCTGAGCTGTGCACACAACACTTTGTTTTATTTTGTTTCATTTTGATTGGTTCAGATGGTCCAAATATTTGCAGAACTCCATTAAGTTCTATTTGGGATGAAGTCATAAGTTCCACCTTCCACCAAGGCATGGAGCCTGTCCAAATTAGTGTCAAAGCCTATATAATACCTTGGCTATATTGCAGGCTTGTAGAGTATCAAGATCCTGTTTTCACAGCAGTTACATAGTTGTTACTCCAGTGAAGAATGATATGGCCCCTTATAAAGTCCACAAGCTGACGTCTGTTTTTTAATGTAATATTTACACTACTCAAGGAGCTAAAAGAAGGCTTTGCTTTAATAGATTCCTTCAGCTAATGTTTTCCCTTATACAGATGGGTTATTGTTTCCAGCTTCTGATACCTATGTGGTTTGTATACCAGGGCCTCGGTTTTTTGTTAGGCTTTTTTTTTTCCTTCTCTGTGTCCCCTAGAGCAAGGGAAGGTTTTGCCATTGTCATCCAGTTGCCTTGCAGTTTTCTCTGAGATTTTATTTGAGGGTCAAAACCCTGAAGACATTAAAAACAAAACAAACAAAAAACCTAAGCACCCTGTTGTTGTCCTGCTCCCCCCCCACCCCCCCACCCCCAAGTTGCATTCTGTTTTCAGATTTCTCTTCCCCTTTCTGAGAGGAAACCTGGTACAGCAATTTCCTACCATGGGCAGAACTCACATAATTTAGGCAATGAATTTTTTTTTTTTCCCCCAATGGCTCTGATGCTACAGGTGTGAACTTGTGTCTCTTGAAAATGCTGCCCAGGTGATTGCTACAAATAACACTGTGCCACCTAATGATTTCATGGGGCTAGATAAAAATCTGTACATTCATCCTAAGTATAAGTAGCTTTCTGGGGCTTCATAATGGAAATAGAGGGCCAGGTTTTAAGTACATTAGCACATTTATTCTAGTGAAGTAAAACACACATTAACAACCATATCATTCTGGTCTGAACAGGGAGTGTGGAGGACCACTGAAATTAGGTGAACTTTTCTGCTTAGTGTGCTTCTGGGCCGAAACAACTGCAGAAAATGGGGATTGCAGAGGGGAGTAGCTGCTAAAACTTTTTTAACTTCAGCAATGTACAGCTTCAATCTGGGCTTAGTTCAGGAAAAAAGCTTACACTTGTTGTGTTCCACTGAAACCAATTTTCTCCCAATTCTAATTAAAAACAAAACCAAAACATAAGACTTACAGCCTCAGAGTTCAGAGCCATTTGTAGTGGACAGAGAAAGGTCAAAAGCAGGATACACCAAGGACCTTATCTCATTTGCTGATCTAACGACATATACAGATATACTTTAGAGGATTAGAGTCTTCTTACCCTTGGTTCTGATTATAAAATTTCTGATGGGTTGGGTTCAGGTAGGAAATTATTCAGAATTCTGATTTTTTGAGTGTATCTGTCCTGATGCTTTTCAGCCTGCATGTCTAAACAAGACATCTAGAAATATTAGTTAGAGCATTCCAGCATTTACACTTTTTTCCCTAAAGAATTAGAAGATGAAAAAGTATCGTAGCTTATTTTGGGATATAAAGGATGGATACAGTCAGTCCTTCATTTATGTGTGGTTTTTTCTTTATTTGGAGTTCAGAGTGGAGGCAGGAGAAGTACAGGGAACATACATATTCCCTGTTCTGATTATGTTCTTGTCACCTGTGCTCTGCAAACTATCATAGCTGTCACTTGGACTTCTATAATTCTGTTCTCTAATGGGAGGCAACCTGGGCTGCAGTGATCACGCATTGGTGGAGTTCACAGTCCTGAGGGATATGGGAAAGGCGAGGACTATAGTCAGGACTCTACGTTTTAGAAAAGCAAAAGTCCAGCTCTTCAAGGAGTTAGTCAGAAGGACCCGCTGGGAAATGGTCCTCACGGACAGGGGAGCAGAACAGAGCTGGCAGATCTTTAAGGACACTTTCCATAGAACGCAGGAGCTCTCAGTCCCAGGTGCAAGAAGTCAGGCAAGGAAAGGAAGAGACTGGCATGGCTGAGTCGAGACCTGATGGTTAAACTAAAGGGCAAGAGGGAACTGCACAGGCAGTGGAAGCAGGGACAGGTATCTTGGGAAGAATATAGGGATGCTGCCTGGTTGTGTAGGGATGAGGTCAGGAGGGCCAAGGCATGGCTGGAGCTGAACTTGGCAAGGGTCACAGAGAATAACAAAGGGTTCTACAGGTATGTCAACTGGAAAAGGAAGATTAAAGAAAGCGTACATCCCCGCTCCCCCCAAATGAACAAGAACAGTGACCTAGTATCAACAGATGAGGAGAAGGCTGAGGAACTCCACAACTTTTTTGCCTCAGTCTTCACTGGCAACCTCTTTCCTCACCCTTCCCAAGCCGATGGACCACAAGACAGGGACCAGGGGGGTAAAGCCCCTCCCACTGCAAGAGAAGACCAGTTTCAGGACCACCTGAGGAACCTGAACATACATAAATCTATGGGACCTGACGAGATACATCCCAGAGTCCTGAGGGCATTGGCTGACACCATTGCCAAGCCACTCTCCATGATGTTTGAAAGGTCATGGTAGTCAGTTGAAGTCCCTGGTGACTGGAAGGGAAATATTGTGTCCACTTTTAAATAGGATATAAAGGAGGACCTGGGAACTACTGACCTGTCACCCTCACCTCTGTGCCTGGGAAGATCATGGAGCAGATCTTCCTAGAAGCTATTCTAAGGCACATGAGGACAGGGAGGTGGTTTGAGACAGCCAGCATGGCTTTACAAAGGGCAAGTCCTGCCTAATCAACCTAGTGGCTTTCTATGATGGAGTGACTGCATCAGTGGACAAGGGAAGAGCTATGGATGTGATCTATCTGGACTTCTGTAAAGCCTTCAACATGGTCCCCCGCAACATCCTTCACCCTAAATTGGGGAGATATGGATTTGACAAGTGGACTGTTCAGTGGATAAGGAATTGGTTGGGGGATCGCATCCAGAGGATAGTGGTCAACAATTCAATGTCCGGATGGAGACCAGTGACGAGTGGTGTCCCTCAGGGGTCTGTACTGGGACCAGTGCTGTTTAACATTTTCATCAATGACATAGACAGCAGGATCAAGTGCACCTTCAGCAAGTCTGCAGATTACACCAAGCTGTGTGGTGCGGTTGACACACCTGAGGGACGGGATGCCATCCAGAGGGACCTGAACAAGCTGAGAGGTGGGCCTGTGTGAACCTCATGAGGTTCAACAAGGCCAAGTGCAGGCTCCTGCACCTGGCTGGGTGCAATCCCCACTATCAACACAGGCTGCAGAGAAGGGCTTGGGGGTACTGGTGGATGAAAAGCTGGACATGAGCTGACAATGTGCATCACAGCCCAGAAGGCCAGCCATATCCTGGGCTACATCAAGAGAAGGGTGGCCAGATGGCTGAGGGAGGGGATTCTGCCCCTTTACTCCGCTCTGGTGAGACCCCATCTGAAGTCCTGCATCCAGCTCTGGAGCCCCCAGCACAAGAAGGACATGGACCTGTTGGAGCGGGTCCAGAGGAGGGCTGCAAAGATGATCCGAGGGCTGGAGCACCTCTCCTACGAGGAAAGGCTGAGAGAGTTGGTCTTGTGCAGCCTGGAGAAGAGAAGGCCCCGGAGAGACCTTACAGCAGCCTTTCAGTACCTAATGGGGGCCTATAGGAAAGATGGGGTAAATCTTTTCAGCAAGGCTTGCTGCGATAGGACAAGGAGTAATGCTTTTAAACTAAGGGAGGGTAGATTCAGACAGTAAAAAATTTTTTCCTTATATCCAGTGAGGGTGGTGAAACACTGGAACAGGTTTCTCAGGGTGGTAGTGGAGGCCCCATCCCTAGAAACATTTCAGGTCAGGTTGGACAGGTCTCTGAGCAACATGGTCTAGTTGAAGATGTCTCTGCTCACTGCAGCAGGGTTGGACTAGATGACCTCTAAAGGTCCCTTCCAACCCAAAGCATTCGGTGATTCTATGATTCTACAATGATCATCTAGTCTAACTGGCTGACCACTTCAGGGCTGACCAAAAGCTAAAGCATGTTATTAAGGGCATTGTCCAAATGCCTCTTGAACACTGACAGGCTTGGGGCATCGACCGCCTTGCTAGCAAGCCTGTTCCAGTGTTTGACTGCGCTCTCAGTAAAGAAATACTTCCTAATGTCCAGTCTAAACCTCTTCTAGGTTTATCATGTCAAAATGTTTTGGCTTCTTTTCAGGTTCCTTGACTTGATTCTTTTTTTCTCTGTAGCAGATGTTAAATGCTTTTGTTGGTGAATCCCACCATTGCTTTAGCAGTAGAGAGGCAAAATATTTTATAAGATCTGTTGGTATAAAGCTACAAAATGTAAACCTGTTATCTGTAAATGGGCTATCCTTCTACTTGGGAACATAGTATGTTTAAAAGGCTGAGGTTTGTTGCTTAGATGTCAAAGATAACTGTATCTCCATTAAACTTTATTATTCTGTGTTTAATAACCTCATCTGAAGGGGATTCTTTTTATCTGACACACTAAGGTGATAATGCTGACATAACACTTCCAGAAATGTTTGTAATAAATGCTATAAAACATGTCTATGTCCATTATACAAGAATATGGGGGGAGATACAAAAATAAAGAACAGCTCAGTGAAGAAACTCAGGTGGTTCTACAGCGGCGTTTCATCCTGTAAAGGCTCCTTGTGTAACCTTGTTTAACGTTTTCTTTCAGGAACAAGAAGATCCTAATAAGCTTGCTACCAGCTGGCCAGATTACTACATTGACCGCATCAATTCCATGGCAGCCGTAAGTTACCTCTTCTGCAAAGCAAGGAATGTTTTCTACCTTAGAGATATGTTTCGTTAGGAAGACGTCCCCAAAAGAGAAGAATGTTACCCCAAGCGCATGACTGATCTAAAATAGGACTTATGAAAGAAGACAAGTGTGTGTATTAAGACAGAGCCCTGCTTTAGCTGAAGAACAGATTAGAAAGAACCATAAGCATTTCCAGTTTTCATTTCTACAGTAGTGTGCACTGAAATCAATCAAGTTAGATTCTGGAATGAAAATTCGGAGCTGGAGTAATGAGACTGATGATTTAAAATTATTTATGTGACAGCTGTGAAGCCTGTCCCAAAGTGTGGCCCTGATCCTTAGATGCCTTCTCACAGGCACTGGTCCTGAAAAGAAGGGACAAAAATGGCTGTGTGCCTTTTTTGAATATCTGTACAATTCAGCTGGCTTTAAACTGTAGTAGACCATAATGATCATCAAGAGTTTGTTATGCTCTTTAGTGTTGTTGGAGCACAGAGGTAGTTCAGCTATGACCCCTGTTTTGGAAATACGTTAATGTAAAGCTAGCTTTCAGCACATGCATACACTCGTACTTGTGTCTTGGCAGGGCTAGCCAGTCTGAAAGAGTAACAATTGAAAGCATCTTTTTCCAAAACTATATTTTTAGCTGCAGTTAGCATTTTTTGAGACCTGCGTGTCATTTGGGCCAAGTAGAGGTGAAATAATTTGGTTCTTCAAGAGGAGTCTTAAGCACAGCCTGTAAGTGAGGATTATATAAAATCAGGGACAGGAGGGAAGCAAGGCCTCTATTTATCCCTTCAGAACAGAAGAACAAGAGAATGTTTGATGAATCAGAAATGCAACTATTTGAAATCTAGGTAAAGTTTTGGTTTGGTGTGTGGTTTCAAATTGATTTCTAACCAATCTACAAAATAATACTGGGGTTGTCAGTTTAGTAGAAGAATTAAAGAAAGGTAGTAGTTTATGTAAGATAATATCCACTTATATAACAGCAGATAAACAGAGGAATTGAATGCTGTAACACCTTAGACATCAGATACATGCTAACAAGATATTTGGGAAATCTTTTTTTAATTGTCCTTGTTCCATAGCTGTATAATATGTCTCTTCCTCTGAAGCACCCAATAGAGCTGGTCACCAGCAGAACACGTGCCTGTAGCATCCACTGATCTCCTTTGGTATGGTAGATCTTATATTTTGAAAATTGATCCTTTTTCTGATTTTGTAGTCAAATTTTGCCTCCAGTTATTCATGTGCAATGTCTACTCAGCTTCTTCTTATTTGTGCAGAAGTGATGATAGAATTCTGTTCCTAGCATCTTAGGTAGCACATCTTGTTTGTTTACTTATGCTTTTATATTTGATTTCTAAAGGGTTCTCTGCACCTTTTTTATCATGGCTATGAGCTACAAAATAATTTCATAAAAATAATGTCTAATGGATGCTAAATGTGTCAGTATTGGTGCATTTCTCATGGTGAAATATGTCTTGCTCAGTAAAAAAATCGAGAGTTACAAGTTATTATATATCACCGTAAGAGGACAAAAGAAAAGCTGCTTTCTGCTGTGATTCATGAATAACCAAAGTGATTACCTCCCTTCATGCCAGGTTTTCTTGGGGCAGAGTAATGGAATAGAAAGAATATAGACTTGTTTCAAGAAAAGAGATTGAGCTTTTGTGACTGACATGGTACTGTGCTTTGATTTCCTCACTGAACAAATTTGCTCTACAAGGGCCATTAATGAAAAAAAGAAGTATGAAACTTTGCAGTGTCACTGAGCCAAGTATTTCTGGTAGGATTTGATCCAAGGCCTCTTGAATCTACTGAAAGTTTTTCCATTGATTTCAGTGACTTTTGAATTAGTCTCTAAATGATCTTGACGTAAACCTGGAGTGAATATGTACACACCACTGTTGTAAATCTGGAGCAGTTCCATGGAATGAGACTATATTTTGGCCTATGTTTCTAATTTTAAACATGTTTTAAAAGCACCAATAAACACCAGCCCTGTAATGTTGCTTGCATGCCTCAGCATTAAATGATTAATAACATTTTTATTTGGCTTCAAGCCTCATGATTTACTCTTATGCTTGAAGTGTTAAGAAGACACACTGGGGTTACAACCCCTGCTTCTGATTTACCACTTAGTTGCTTCACTTTTAGGCAGGTGAAACTTAGTTGACTTGATTTCACAGGAATTGTATCAGCGGAAAACTGGAGTAACACATCTGAGAACCAGCTCCAACACACTTTAAAATACATGTTCTATTCATTAGTATTTAGACCTCTGAGATTCTTAACTTCCAAATGGTTATTTTGGGTCCCTTATAATTTCAGTTCTAAATTTAGTAGTGATTTTTTAATTTTTTTTTTCAAACTGCATCCGAGTGGAGTTGGCTCAGAAACAGTGAAAGAAAAACATGTTTCATGTTGCTTCCTGACACTGTCTAGTCTATTTCAGTTTGCATCTCTTGGGCGCTATCAGGTATTGCAATATTTTAATTAAAAATACTGCAAGAAGTATTAGAGTTGAAATGGCAGCAATAATCACAGAAGTGTTATTTTAAAATTCCTTGAGTCCTGTTTTTTTAATAAAATTTAATCTTTGCATCTCATGTGAATTAACTGCATAAGAATCTTTTTATGTGTAGCTTTCACATCTTTTTCTATATCCTTTTGCTTAATTTTGCAGTTCTTTTTTATGTATTAGCTTGGCAAAAAAGTTCTTCCTACCTGCTGATAAAACGGAAATGGCACCTTTATCCTGCTGATATCATTAAGTATCCTTCGGTGGATTTCAGCAGGCCAAGGCTACTGTGCGCTAGGACCGTTTTCTCAGAATACTCGCTGCACTGTTACCCATCGTATCTGCCCCTCACAGATTATGCTTGAGAGCAATGTGGTGATTCCTGACATGTTTGACATTCCCTACTTGTAATTTTAGACTGCTATGGTACGAAGCACTTTAGGTCACAGATTCCCGGTCCAGTTCAAAAAGCCACGAATTTTAGGCACAGTTCTGTTGCCACAATTGTTTCTGTTGCTGTGACTTTTTAGATTTTAATTGTTTTTAAACCCAGTTTTCACAAAAGCATATGACAGCAACACTGAATCTCTTTACTAGTCTGTAGTGTGCAGTTCCCGTAGAGGGACTGTCCCATCCATCAGGTAGCCTGTCTGAAAGGAAGGGGTCAAGTAGAGCATTGGTAGAGTCTTCTAGACCAGTCCTTAAGAGCAAGGGATGGCTGCTGCTGATGCTTAATTTAGAAAGAGGAGCCTCCAGATTTGCCCAGTCCTCTGATGTCTACATGCTACAAATAATAATGGTGATTGTGGACAGGTTACATGTCCACAATTAGAGACCATTTCCATTATCAAGTTCATTGTCATCTTCTGCTGATTCATCAACACACAAAACTTCTTTTCTTAAAAATGCAGCAGCTGCCCTGCTAATATCATATGTAAAGAAACCTCCCTGTGCTCCTCCTGCCCTCCTCACCCCATGATACTGTCTGCTTGGCAGTACAAATAAACACAGCCCTCATGATACTGAGGAGGAAAATTTCTGACAGAACTGTGTTGCTTTTATGAGCTTGGCTGTGTATGCATTTCCACAGAGACTTTCAGGTGAACAGTAGTTGCAGATCCAGCTTTTCTGGAGAGATGACTCAGTTGAGAGTATGAGACAGAGGTCAAGATTAATAAATACAGCTGTAACCAGGCCCTTTCCTTGACTCAGAAAGCATTTGTTCAGGACAGAGTATCTTCACAGGACATTAAAATATACATCATTCAGCAGAATTTAGCAGGGGGATGATGACTCTCTCCTTCCTCTGGGTTAGATGACATCTATGTTACTTTAAACCTATTTGCTTAAAAGTTCAAGTTATTTAAATTACATCTATTCATAGTTTATGCTTCATAGTTTATTCTCTTAGTTCATCCTTAATGTAGTTAGAGACATGGTACACCTTGAATTTCAACTGACTTGTTTTCTTTGAAGAAATGTATTAATGTAGTACAGGTACGTCATAGGAGGCATGCAATGCAATATTTTTCAATCAAATTTTGATTTTGATTTTACTTGTATTTGTTTATGAACTGGAAGTGATTTCAATAATGATAACACTTTGTTAGTTATGATTTTAGACAAAGTCTAAAGAAAGAGCGTGGACTACAATGAGAAATGAGAACATCTGGGTTGCTTTTTCACTATTTATTCTATTTGTTTCTTTCTTTTTCATTTCATTTGTGTGAGACTGTTAAGTAAAACTAGGTCCATCATACAACGTATTGCTGATGCTAATTCATGCCTTTTTTTTTCTTTTTTCTTATTCTTTTTTCCTATCTCTTTCTCACACGCACTATCATTATGGTCCTGAGTTTCTTTGCCAGCAGTTTAGGGGAATGATTAGCCACTAGCATAACGTATGGGAATTAATCTGTGCTTTTAATAAAGCTAAAATATTTCATTTTAAATGGAGCCAAATTTTCAAGAGTGATTTCTTAGGCTACCTGAAGTTTTACAGATAAAATGCCATGTGAATGGTTGTTTTCAGAAATTCATTAAGTTTTTTGAACTGGCAAATGAAGTAACTAGATGCTGTACTTTCCTGGGTGATGCACTTCATCTGGAAAACTTTAAATACGCAAAACATGCTTGTAAACAAGGGTCTTATGTATACCACTTTTTAGGGACCAGATAGGGACCTGGCACTATTCTGCCTTCTCTTCCTAGTATGTTTGATTAACTGATAGTAACTAGCTGCATCCTCAGCACGTTAGTCTTCGAGTGCAGTTTGTAGTTCAGGAAAGCAATTCATCAGTCAGCCCCATTAATGAAATCCAGCCTCCAATAATGACAGTTCCCTCCTCTCTATCTCCCAGGGACAGTTATGTTTTCTATAACTCTTGCTGAGAAAGCTATTTCATAATGCAAATGCGTGACCAGTCTGTCTTTAGAGAGGGCATGAGGTTTTGAGTTCCTGGCCATCTACAGGAGTGACAAATGAAGGGCTCTTGGCTGCCTGCAGCTTTAGAAAAGGGGTTTTCTATAATGATCCTCTGTTGTAAAGGCAGGATTATTTGTATTTGTTTCATTTGGAAATGCGCCTTTTTCACTCTGAACGAAATACTGTTGAGCACCTTCCTACCATCCATTTGCTTTCCCCCCACAACGGCTCAGAGGAGAAATTAAGCCATTGGAGGAATGGGAGCCTTTCAAAGGAGCATTTATGGGCCAAAGGAAAGATGACCAGATGGGCTGTCACCCAAGAAAATACAACTCAAGCCCCAGATCACACCCCAGGACTCCGCCATTGAGATTCCATAATGCCTGTTCAGGATTTCTGTTTATTTTTCGAAGAGGGGGATCATATATGGCTTGGCTTACGCATTTCAATTTATGTTTCTGGCTGTCGGGGGATGCTGGCAGAAGATAAAACATCATCAGCTCATTTTCCATCAGTAGCGCTCTGTCATTCCATTAGGGCAGGAAATAGCTTGCTCTGTTACTGAGTGAATTTGACTTTAGCGTGGATCAGAGAGAGGACCCCTAGAGTTAAACACATCTCCTATGCCAGCTGTTCAGCGTACGGCAGCAACGGCATGTAGCCAAATGACCACCCTCAGGATCTGACATGTGTTGGCACCACATGGTTTGCAAAAGCAAGCAACATGGGAGCACTTCCAAGAGAAGTGAGGTGTTGGGGGAGGAGGAGGGTTAAAGGAAGTCTCAGTGAGAAGAAGGTTTTCTTTGGTGCTTGCTGAACAGTAAAATAAAGACTGAAGTATTTTGCTCTAATGGGCCATAATTGTAGCTACTCAGATTCCACCACAGAGAGGTGTAATATCAGTTCCCTGATAGGTGATACTAGTTTAATTAGGTTATTCATTTGAGAAGGGGTTCAGAGCTGCTTTCCAGATACCATTGAGTGATATCCCCCAGAAGTCCTGCCAATCAGAGGCATTTATCCTCTCTGTTTTACAATTAAAGCGACTAAGAAGACGTAGCTATAGACAAAAAATTGCCAGCACTGAGTCTTGACTTATTAGAAAGTCACACATTGAAGTTGTAAGCCTGCATGTTATGCGCGATGGGCACAGCAGAGTCTTGCTTCTCATCAGGAGGTTGCAGCGGTGCTGAGTGGAGATCTGGAACCCTGATCTCCTGATATACCACTTTTTTTAATGATGTTGTCTGACTTTAAGGACCTTATTTTTAGTGTATATTCCACTCATTGTGTCTCACCCTAACTTACAGTGACCAGCAGCATCTTCAATTCCAGCTGACTGCAAGCTCTAGTTATCTCAAGCTGCACACTGGGGGGAAATCTAGTCTCCATGTGCTTCAATTTACTCGTTAAAAAACATGGACAAGGATTTTATGGTGCTCCAGCTTTTTGTAGTAAATTTTCCTAATCAGCAATAGCGAAAATCAGTGCCTTAAACCAGGTGATTGACTTTGAGCGGGAAAGAAAATTCAAACTTGTATGTACACAAACTGTAATTTAGGGTACTTGCAGGCTGTTTAGTCACTTCAAGAAAAAGCTTTCATGCTTTGAAACCTGAAACGTCTGTTTTTTTTCTTTTTTGTTCTCCCCCCACCCCTAAAACCCTCCAGCCATGTCAGTCTAATAAAAGTTATTACCTCTCCCTACAAACTTTGCCTCACATATCCATAGATCACCACAGCAGAACACTGTTCCAAATTAGGTACAGTTTTCTGAGGGTGTACTGGCAAGTGTGATTTTTGGGGAGTAATCCGAGAACCCTATTTTAGCCAGTGTGGCAAAGCAGTGTGCTGCTGCCAGTCCACATGAGCAGCCTCATCTGGATTCAGTTTTGTAGCTGAGACGCTGCTTTCCTGGTGAGAGGTCAGCAGGCACCTCTGCGTGGGTTGATGGGACAGTTGTTTTTCATAATTCCTGGTCTGTCTCTTAGCTTCCAGGCAGCCCAAGCTTTCCTGATTGTCATCTTCTTTTCTGAACAGATGCAGACTCTGTATGCTTTCGATGAAGAAGAAGCAGAAATGAAAAATAAAATAGTTGAAGACTTGAAGACAGCTCTGCGGACTCAGCCCATGAGGTAATGTTGTTCATCTTTCATCACAATTCATTTCAGCCTCTCTGATATTCACAGAGATAATCCACAGAGCGCCCTACAGTGCCTGGTCTGAACCTGCCTAGTTGAGAGGGCACACTAATGCTGAAGCACATAGCTTCAGGAAGATAAAAGATAGAGTCTGCTGTGAAAAACCTGTGGCAGATCTGTGCAAGCACAGGTAATAACTGTGGAGATCATATTTTAGACTGCATAGCCCCTTGAACATCGCATGTAATTTGATTCATGTTGGGCAAAATCGCCACCTCTATTCTGAACTTTGAATTCAGGCTTCCCCTTATCTTTAGTAATGTGAACGGTTTGGTACAAAGCAGCTAATCCATCTGACATCACCTGGTTTGGCATTCTTCCTGTTCTGTGTGTAACTGTGGCATAGAGAAATCTTAAGAGACTTTATTGTGTACTATGTCTTTGAAGGTAAGGTTATCTTTGTTTTTCTGGGAACAAAGCTCGGAACAATAGCAAACTAACTAGCATAGAAACCTTTTCCATTTAACACTTAGAAGAGCGTTGCACAGAAGCAATAACGATGGTTGATAGGATCTCAGGAAACACTCCATCAAAAAGTTCCTGAATGTCTTTGTATCAGGCCCAAAATAGGCCAAATGTGTTTGCACCCACAGGATGCTGAAATCATAGTTTCAAAGAGCTTCAATTATGCCTAATCAAACAGGATTTTTTTTAGGGGGATACCTAACCAAATCAAACAAATAATTTTTGGATTGTTTTTTTTTTTATCTCTAAGAATTTGCATTGCAGTTACATTGACTTGAATTGCAGATATTTCTGGGACTTCCTCCAGAGCTAAGTGCTGATTGTGCATCTTCCCTTCATGATGTTTAAACAGTTGACTTACATGCAGCTTCTCACCTCACGGCAAGTATGAGGTAGAGTGCATCAGCTTAAACCTCAGTGTTTTGCCTCCTGTTGTGACAGGCTGTAAAAGAGCACAAAGCCAGATCCTGATGCTCCTCTGAGGCATAAAGATTCATCAGGCTTTGGTAACTTTAGCATGTGGGTAGGCTGAGTGCTTTTAACATGCAAGTGGAGAAACAGTGGCCTATATTGAGACCTAGCCCAAGGGTATAAGTGACAGATTGATCCTGTCTATTGCTATGCTAAAGCAAAGAACACAGTAAAACGCAGCTGGACTTTATGTTAAAATGGAAGCTAAGACAACTGCCAAACTCCCAACTCTCACAAGGGTTTTAAACCAAAGTCCTGTGCTGTTGAGACTTGATGTAGCAACTCTATTACATTAATGTGGAGCTGGTTTGATGGTTCCTCTATGAAAGGGGTAGCTTTCATCGAGCATTGCCACAGCAGCAAGGCCTCTCTGCTATGTCCAGCTGAAACATTTTGGTGGCGACCATTGGTTGTTCTGCTCTGTCATTTTGAATAGAACAGCCCGGCCTCCTTGTTGAGAGCAAGGCAAAAGAGAAGAAGAAATAGAAATGGCTTTTACTCAAAGCCTTGCAAGGGTTTCCTGCTCAGACCTATATTGCTTCTGCTGGATCCCCTTGACAACAGCCTGTTGCTTCATCTGTTTATAATAACCCTAACAAGCTTCAGTACAAGCGTCTATGAGCTGCGCTATAAAGTGTTCTCTTCTAAATCGCTGGCAATGGTTATGGGGCTTTTTTTTTTTTTTAATAGTTAAGCCAAGCCAAATTTTGAGTAAAGTCCTATGTCTCAACTAATTTCCAGCGACTCAATTCGTTAGCTGCCAAATGGGCTGCATGCCAATGCCTGATCAACAAGCCAATTTCTTCTTGATGGAAAGGTTGCAGTAGAGAGGCCCTCGGCTCCATCAAATCCCTCTCATAAGCAGCACTATACCCAAGCCTTCAAAATACTAGTCATTCTAGTTGAATTTGGACATCAAATCTTATTTCTCTTGCCACTTCTGCTCATCAGGCCTCTGAAAAAATAGACCTAAATTCATACAGGATGGATTGTCTGGAGTCCGTTTGTGATGGTAGGGTACACAGAGGCTCTGACAGCTTACCAATAGGCTCCTCTGCAGAATTTTCTGATCTAGAGGAATCAAAAGAAGAAAAAAATGTGTGTTTGGCTCTGTGTTTTATTTTACTGTAGAACTGTGTCTCTTCTAGTACGAAATGCAGAGTAATGGTACTAATCTGTGCCTGTATTCCAAACCACCAGTTCTAACAGCAACAAAACCTGAAGCAGGACTACCCAAACTCAAGTTCCTCTCCTCTTTGGAAAAAAGGTGATAGAAGCATCCCTGGGCAACCAGTTGGCCCCCTTCGAGGAAGTGCATTATGTTCTGGTATTTAGGAGCTGCCCTGAAATAATAAAGCCAGGTTATGCCCCAGCACTCAGGAACAACCCCAGCCTTAGAGAACAGAAAACCCACATCTGCATCTTGTAAGGAAACACATTTTCTTTCAGGTTTGTAAGAACTTATGTCTATAAACAAGTGTGATGACAAACTGTTGGACAGAAGCAGTGAGAGAAGAGCTTTTCTTTTGGTATTTTAGAGCCCAAAACTGGAGGTTCAGAAGTGCAGCAAAAGTAAAAAATTACAAGGGACTGGAAAAAAAATCACTTTTTGGAACCCCAGAAAAATATCTCCTTTAGTGTGAATCATCAGTAACTCCTTTTGCTATCTGCTTTTCTCTTTTAGTTTAACTCAGTTTTACCTCCTGTTATTTTTGTATGATTTAGCCATGTTACATTCAGGTGCATACTGGAGATGATCATTTATGCATCCAACAAGCGAAACCCATTATGCTGAATTTTTCAGCAGTTCAGTAGCTGTCAGGATTATATGTGCCCCCTGAATCAAAAACTGATGCTGCAGGGAAGTGTAGCCTTGCCTGTTAACAGGGTGGGAACATCCTGCTCTCTGCACACCCACAGCATATGATCTTTCTGTCTTTCCTGAGCTGGATCAAGTCTCACAGGGAGGCTGACCCCCCTGCACTTGGAATCCATCAGTGGGTCATTACCTCTTAGGCTGCACCGCATCTGTATTTGGATGAAAGGTTTGTTATTAGAGCTAGCTAACTCATTCTGATCAGCACTCTCTAAAACTTGAAAGGCTAAGAGGTGCCCTGCCTATTAAAATGTGCTAAACTGGTCAAGTGAGAGTCTGAGGTGAGGTTAGGCTTTAATTTGCTTGTTTAGCACCTATTAAAACACACCCTGCTTTATTTACACCTAAGTTTTTGAATGTGTTAGCCAGAATGTGTTGGCAAATGTGCTTAACTTTACACCTTCCAGTCTAGAACAAGACCTTATTTTGCAGCATCCAGGACATATAGTTACACACATGTACACTGTGAGGAAGAAGGTACTTTAGTTGTAGGAGTTGGGTTTGCCTCTGTACATACACACACACGTGTTCCTGCTTACAGGCATACAGATGGACAAACACCAAACAGCGTGAGGATTATGGCTCTCAGACTGTCACCTAAACTCCCACTTCTTTTTTTCTCCTGTACAGACGTTCACACACATACCTCCCCACACACATGCTCACACTGAGCAAATTCTCATACGGAGAGTGTCTGTTGGCTCAGAAACTGCTATTGCCATTTCTTTATCTTCCTTTGCATGATTTCTGACTTTTCCAGAGAATAGTGAACTAAGTGTTTTAGAAAAGGAAGGTGAAAATCATCATTTGGTTCCTGCTTCTGATGTCAGTTGAAATGGGAAGGTACTTGGTTTTGCTCCTATTGAGTAATGCAGCTTACTGTTTGCTCTCGGTACTAGGAAGAGTACAGGAAAATCCCGACGCTGTTTTAAATTATGTCATTAATCAAGGTCTGTGACAAACACCACTTTCCTGCGCATGACTCCTTTTTGGAATGACCTCATCCAAACACTCCTAGAAAATTGCTCTGCCAGTGAATTTAGTAAGGAATTGTACTTAATTGGGACAATGTGACTTTTATGCATTTACCATTTTTCACACAGTCATCAGAGCAGGCTAAAATACAGGAAGGTTGTAGTGCCTTGTATGTCTTGTCATAAGACCAGGTGTTCCATCCGAAAGTATGTTTAAAAGACTCTTTGTTCAGCTGCTTTTTTGGGATGCTTTCTTTTGCCAGTAGAGCTCTGTATCTTGAGAAAGGTATCCATCTTAAGTCTTCCCTCAGCCCTAGAACTGAAAAGAACAAGAAAGCAACACTTTTTTTTGCCCTTTCCTTCCACCTCCTGCAAAGATGGAGGGAACAGTTAAGGTATAGGATGGATTCAAAGAACTGAACTTTGGAGGTGAGGAGGAGAAGGAGAATAGGAGAATTTAAACTAGTCCCTCAATAGCAGAAGCAAAGAGCAACTCTGCTCTTTAGGTCCAGGATTAGCAAAATGCTCGGAAGTCATTGGCATCACATTGTTTGGTAACAAGTTGAGTTTGTGCATATTTTGGTTCTATATACATCCCTACCAGCAATTCTTTTAGCCATGAATGCACTTACTTCAGTCTTGTTTCGCACACTAGGAGCTAAACACATTACAAAAATTAAACTCAGTTTTAATCTTTCTATAATCAGTTTAAATAACAAACTGCTTTGAGTGACTTACTGAATTCCCTATGCACAATGTCAATCCCACTCTCTGGCCTGGAGGCAGAGGGGCTTTCGCTCCTATGATTTGTTAGGGTAGACAAGATGATGCATCCAAAGAATGTGCAAACAGACCTGTGTGAAACTTGGCAGATTGTCGTAGCAGGGTTCAATGAAACCTTTTCATTTTTGGTGTGCATGTGTTCCTGTGTGTGCTTGCCCTTACTCTGATATTCACTTTGAAAGTCAGTTTTGAACAAAATTCAAACCTCAGACCGAAACCTTGTTGAAAGTGCCAGGCTTTGCCGTGTTTCTGGTCAAAGTGCTGGCCCAAACAAGCTGAAAGTTGGCAAATCGATCGGCATAGCGAGCATAACTTTCAGGTAGGCCCTGAAAATTCCTGTGTGGTGTGGAGTGTAACCACTGGAAGACCATACATATGTCAAGTCCATATTATCCAGGAGATAGATAAGTATGGCTCAGGTTTGTCTTGCTTGTACAGAGACATGAACAGAGACCAGTGAAATTCAGTCTTTCAGCATGGTGCTTCCATTACTGATGCATACCAGAAACAACATCTCACTTAAGGAGAGACAACAGAAAGACAGCACATTAGGATGTATCCAACAGGGAGGAAGAGGGGCAGGCTAAAAGCGAAGTGACACAGACTTTTGGTATGCTTGATTTGTTACACAGGTGGCAATTGTTAACAACCTTTTCATTTGTTTGACATATCTTTCAGCGTTATGCTGTTTGGAGCGTCTTCATGGACATATTATTGTTGATGTACATTTTGGTAGACTGAAAATTCAAATGTAATTCATATGGTTTTGCATTCAGACATTCTAAAAAAGTGCACCTACCTGAATGACCTGTTAGAGGAGGCAGGAGGTAAACAAAGCAATCTGGAGAAATTATATGCAGCCCTTTTCATAACTTTGAATCCCCATTTTTAAGCCTGGGAACTGGAAATGAAACATTGCTAGAATGATTGGTTTGAACTGACTTATATAATTCCATTCGTTTCTATTGATTTGTCTGCGAGGCTGTCTGCATGGTCTAATTTGACCCATCTGAATTTTTTAACCCTTGTTTTCAATGAAACCTTTACCTTTTCCAAGGACTTTCTCCTATATTGTTTTTATCCTCAGTTTCCATAATCTTAATCTGAAGAAAGGCAAATTTTATAGTAGAATACAGTAGAAACTGAACTTTCATGATGTCAATAGCCCAAATAAACCTGGCCTACTATAGATTCAGTCGTCAATGTGTCATTTGGTAACTGATTAATTCTGTATTTCCTCTATTTATGATGGTTTCAATCTATATTTTGCTGCTGCAGGTTGACAGTGGACCTGTTCCATCCTTGGTATACCTCCTCAAACTAAAAACAAACAATCAAACCAAAATAAATGCAGCCAAGGCCATTATAGGAGCTTTGCCTTTTACTGAAGAACATGTACCTTTTAAACTTTGTGTTCTCCTGTATGTATATCGCGGGATCAGGGTGTGAAGTCAGTACAGCTGACAGAAACAGTGGTAATCACAGAATCACAGAATGTTCGGGGTTGGAAGGGACCTCTGTGGGTCATGTAGTCCAACCACCCTGCAGAAAGAGGGTCACCTACAGCAGGCTGCACAGGACATTGTCAAGGGGGGACTTGCATTT